ATTAAGTTTGTCCTAAAAATATAAATTTCGTCAGTAAAGCCTTCGTGATTGTCAATATCCACAATTCTCTGACACCTTTGTCAAATTCTGAGATTGACAACACCAGACTTCAGTTATTTTATGATTCTTGGGGTTTGGTGATAATGCCCGAGGCTCAAAGCACCAGACTGACTAATACTGCCGTCGGAATCTGTCATGCAGAGTCATTTCTAAGACTGACCTTGCCAGAAGAAACACAATTTAAGACATTCATAATGTGACTTTTAATAACCGAGCTTTGTATATCCAGTCCTGGGCTTCTTTTGAATTTGTAGAGTCCAAGGTCACATCTGGACTAAAGTACCAATGCATGACTATATTTCTGTGTTAATTTCCGAAGCTTATTGAGGTCGCGTGGATTTTTTTGGCACGCTGTTCATGTGCTTATTGAGAAATCCACTTGCAATGTTGATGGAATAGATTGAACCTGCATCCATAGTCTCAGACGCGTCTAACTTTAACTGTAGTGTTATCAGTAGGCTGCCTGTAATTTAATCTGAACCAAATCGGTCATGCTGCTCGGCATATTATTGATGTTTGCCGCTTTTTCACGAGTAGACGTGGCATTGTTCTGCCATTGATGTAGCTACGTGACGGTGCTCTTTAATCGCAGACCTACTTTAAACAGCGAAAGGAAGCCTGGATTATACCCATGAAATATTGCATTTATTAATGATTTTTACCCCATGTATGTTTAATGAGTTCATTATTATCGTATCTACATGCATGCATGTGTTTCTATCATTTATAAGACAGCATTGGGTTTTATAGCGTAGTGTGGAAAATGTTGAAATTGATCATGTATAATTTAAGGGGATTGGTGCACTGTACTGTGATGACGGTCACCCAGGGTTCTGTAAATTGGTATCTGAGCTGATCGTGGGGTATATCTAGGTCATCTCAGCCGTAAATTAGGACATGGTGCAGTGCGTGAGCGTCTCAGCAGCGGGCAGACTGGGTGTGGTGCGAGGCGTGGTCCTGGCCACAGTCGCCTTCCTCACCTCTGCGAGCTCGAGGGGATTCTCACAAACAGAACTTGCGCTGACATTTCATGAGCCCATGTGGGGGGAGAATCTTTGTACGTTTGCTGATTATAATTGATCTGCTATCCTCAATAACTCGCTAGGTGCCACTCGGCTCATAACGATTCAGTGTTGGAAAGTCACGGGGTTCAAATCGTGGCCGTGAGTCACAGCTCGGCTTATCTTCAACGGGGTTGCGTCTGGCCTTCTCTGTAGGAATGTGGATTTCCACTTCTTGCTCAGGGCTGACTATGAGACAAAGCTTGCACATTTGAGCCAAGGTGACATTGAAATTTGACGTTTCAGATTCGATTTATGTTTAATATCCATCTCATTTTTTAAACGATGGTTGTTTACACGGTTAATTGTCTCGTGCTTTAAATTTTTATCGGTGATAGTTAATGCATTTAATCTATTTCATCATCAGCCATGGTCAACCCACTGCTGGATAAAAACCTCCCGAAGCCACCACCGACTTACTTTCCTACGCTGGAATAATCCACCTGGCACCTACACACGGAATTATTCAAATAGATTTAGAACACTCGATTTTTACAGCATTTTCTCTGTGGACCACAACTTGATTTAAAGTAATCCCTCCGAGAATGCATTGTTTCAGCCATTGGATGGCCGTTAGTGCAGCGACATGCACAGGGGCTTGCGCAAGGCATGTGACCATGACACATGGGTTTTAGCTGCATTGTCACGCGCTGGGAGTAGGCAGGACGGGCCTTATCCTTTTAGAGATTATCAGCCGGCACAGGTTTATAATGGTGTGCGAGAATAGACTTGAGTTGGGGCTTTCAGCGCAGTGATTTCTTGGATAGGTTTGAATTCGGCTTTTACTGGTTCTTTTTAGACGAGGCAATTTCAAGAATTGTCTTGTATTGTCGACTTTGCCGAGTCAGCGAATCAATCCTTGCGATGGAAGGCACAAAAGCAGAGATTTGTCTAAATGTATTTTAAAGTATGATTCTCTGACTCATGTGACACACCATTTCACCTTTTGTCTTCCATTATTCTCCAGCATTGGAGTCCAATATTGCTTCTCGCGTTCAGTCACAGTATTGCCACACATTAGTGAAATTATATTACGAAATCACATATTATTCCTCCTCTTTTTTCAATATGTAAGATTACTGGTACCGACCTAACAGCATGTCACTGCTTTTTTCATTATGTATTCAAATTATGTTTTACAAAAACACTGAGTTAGCCAAGGGAGGGCAGTACAGCAAGTGGATTGGTCACCCTTATATACAGACCAATTCGCGGTTTCCCCTCCTATACATAGATTTCTATGGGTACGCTGCTCTCCGCCCACAAATTAAATTCTCCCTTCACATGGAATTGCCGGAACCTCCTGACAAAGATTTCAGAGACTCAGTGACTTGTTCTTGACTTCATAAATATAATTATTATTCATAAGGACTCTCGATTTAGAGCTGTGATTAGGGGATAGCACCTCAAGCCGACCTTGACCGCAGTGCAGGTGAAGGGGGTTTATTTTGTGCATTCCCTTCGACCAGGCAGGGTGGCGCGACCACTACGAGCAGTGAGAGCTGGAATTCTCTGGTCTATCTGGCCTCTAAGAAGCCATGGTGGCTTATAAGTAACCCCCCCTCCTACCTTACTACAGCAGTCACATGTGCCCAAACAGCTGTGCATGTGGGCCACTGACCACAGCTGACCCAAGCAGCTAGTTCTAGACCAGACAGGAGGTTATCCGGATCCACGTTGCTCACTCGCCAGTCCTACGGGTTCGCTCGACTCTGATTTAGGGCGTTTTGCAAGGAAGCATCTTGCTTGCGCGCTCTGCATGGCGGCGTTGGGGCACGGCTGCCAAGGTGAACATAGGCGACAAGTGCGAAGCGAAAGCGGTCGACGCGCCCGTCACTCGTTCTGGTGTTTATCGTGGCTGTCAGTAACACACTGATAGGATGATTATATCGTACGCCATGGATTAATTAAAGGGGGTCTACGTTTGAAAGTACAGTAAAATAATTGACGCAACCATTTTGGCGTAACCTATCACGAGTCAAAGTGGTCCGACTGCTCAAGCAGCTGTGTGGGACTGTGCTCATTGCCACTGGGGTTCACCATATAGCCCTGTCTGACTGCCAACGAGAATTTTAACTGCATTGTATTTTGAATACGAGTCGAGGCGTCTGCTGCGGTAGTGCCCTGCCTAGCGTTCGGGTTACGTCTTGGGCATTGAAGGTTGGTGTTCACCCTTGGACCTTGACGAGCATCAGGCCGAGAACACGCAGTTAGGGTTACGGATAGTGGTAAGGTTACCATTAGTTTAGGGTTAGTGGCAAGGTTACGATTTATTTAGGGTTAGTGCTAAGGTTATCATTGATTTAGTGTTTTATTGCATGATATAAGGTCCACAGCAATCATACCGTCCGGTCTCTGCCATGGCAACGTGGAGTTGCTGCTGCTGGCTCAGGTGCTGTGACCTCTTGCTGGTTTTGAGCAGAGAGACACTCGGACGTTTTTGGCTCTCTGTGGTGCCGTAGCTGCCGTACAACCGACGGAGGAACGCGTTTCATTTCGGAATGTGACACCGTGTTCTCGCAGCTGATGGTGCCACCTCTCCTGGTGTCACATGACTTTCAGATGTGTCGAGCACGGTTGTTATTCTTGTACCGCCCGGCCTGCACTTCTCGGTAGGGTTGCTTCTCGCGCTATATACCCTTAATGGGGGTTGTAAGTTAACCACTTTGCTAAAATATAGTGTAGTTAAAGATAGCCTTCAAGTTGTAAGCTTGGACGTGGCTAATCTACTTTCTGCAGAGTAGATCAGTTGAAGGCCGTAGCCATGGAGTCAACATTGGGGGGGGATCAAATGTTCCAGGGGTCTAGGGGTCCCCCCCCCAGAAAAAATATCTAAATTTGAAAACTAATTTCCTACCTAAAATATTAAAAAATTCACTAACACAAAAGATGGACTTTTTATTTATTTTTTACAATAATGTCTAATGGTATTACATTGCTCAGTTTTTTTTACCTTTTCTTGTTTCATTGTATGTAATGGCAGAGATTAGGGATTAATAAAGTACAACCATAACCACAATCATATCAACAGAAATCTATTTTATAGCAATATATTGGGGGGGGGGGATGTGTCCCCCCCAATATATATTATAATTACAGCCTTGGATCAGTTTCACATTTTTGGCATTTTGCGGTGGTTGTATTTTTTTTGAGAGGCTGCACCCACCAAGGAAGATGAGCGCCAACCTGGGTTTGTACAGGTGGACATTTGTCTGTAAATGAATGTAAACCATTCCATTTAAAAAGTGTATACTTTCACAATAATTTCTCGACAGTGCACCACGATTGTGTTCACATATTGCATGTTAACATTAGAAAAGAAGGGAAGCGAGTGCTAAACCATTTATTAAAAAAAAATTGATGACAGCAGCATTCGTTAGACATTAACAGCACAACACGTTGCATTCCTTAATGTGCACCTAATTTGTAAACATCTATACATGCAACACTCAAATAGCACTCTCATATCGGAAACCCCTCCTAAAGGGGATGCTTGATAAACAATCATCAATTTAAAGCTTTCGTGACTGCAGCGATTCATCTTCTTGGTTCTTTAGATAAAGTCACGTAGAAGGGAAATAATAAAGTAATACAATTTAAACATAAAAAAAAATCTAATGTATTTTATAATGTTTTATTTTTATTATTTTATTATGTCCCTTCTACGTGACTTTACCGAAAGAACCAAGAAGATGAAACAATCATCATACCATACTCTTTCATTCTTTCATAATACCACCAGATAGTCTCGCTCGTACCAAGTGGTACGACCCATTCAGTGTCAGAGCAAGTCCACCCGCTCCCCACCCACGCCCTAACCAGCGAGATGGTTTCTTCCAGGTGTAACCTCAGCAGCCGGCAGTTCCACTGACGCTCATTATGAGTGCACGGTCGGTTTGCATCGCCGCGGCGAAGGGTTACCGCCGATCGGGGTTAGGCTGTAATCCGTACCTTCTTCGTTCCTGCGTGTGTAGAGTTCAAAGCCCAGGCTCGGCCGGGTGTCGTGCTCCCAATGTGGCCAGCAGTTCGTCAGCCTCGACAACGCACGCACGCTGCTCAGTACGTGCGTGTGGCCGGGAATGCAGCGCTCGCTTGCTCTTACCGAGCAAGCGGACGCCTTCCTCGCGCGCTGCTTTCTTTTAGCAGAGCGAGCTGGCGCGGCGTGGGTGGCACAGGCTAAGAGCACTCGGGCGGTGTTTTCTCAAGGCATACAAACTTGGCCGCACGCGGACATACACACTGGACCTGTGTATTTCGCATGATACGGAGCACCGTTCTTCTTGCCATTGATCGACATCGCCCGGGCACCTGGACAGCTCGCGGCTAAATCGGCGATAACGCGCGCGCCCGGCACGAGCAGCGTCGTGAGACTTAGCGCGTGCGCCGGGCTGGCCAGGGGCTGGCATGAGCCTCTCTGCGGAGTCGCCATGCAGCACGTCTCCTCGGCCGAGTCGTCCGACACGGCGTCGTACGAGAGCGAAGGAGAGGGGGCGGCTGGTGGCGGTGGCGGTGGCGGCAAGCGTTGGGGTCGCGTGTTTGACCCGAGTGACAGCGGAGACGAGGGCACCGTAACTGAGGTGCGCAGCTCCCCGTGCCCAGCCGACGAAGGGTGCCGCGAAGCCGCTGAAAATGACGAAATTCCATTGCATCTGCTAAACGAAGGTGAGGGCCTCTCTCCCATTTCAACCGTTGGGGATGTCGTCGTCGTCATCGTCTTCGGCAACAGCGTTAAGCATCTGACGATGATGCTTAACGATGTTTCTTTTGGCTGGCCGTCGAACAAAGGCAGTCACCGCATTTTGCGCCTTCGGATGCACTTCTGCGGCCGTCTGGAATGCTGTTCTGATTTTAGGAAGCCACTGGAGGTCTGCACTTGTAATTGTAGATTGAAAAGTTATTTATTTGGGACTGCTTTTTGTGTTTAGTTTATTGTCCTTCCCCGCACCACCGATTAGCATGTTTGGCTAGGTACGGTGCGAAAGAATACTCTTTGGTTTTTTCGGTAAAGTCACGTAGGTAAAAAATCTAATGAAATAAATGAAAACAACTAAATTAAATCACGACGTTTCGGGCGCAACACAAGCGTCCTTCTTCAGGTGGGGACAATGTAGCGAAAGCACAACCACTTAATTGTGTCTAAGAGATGGCTTCTCTTAGACACACTGTGTGTGTATGAATCCTCGAAGTCACGAAAGCTTCAAATCTAGGTACGAAAGAAGTTCAACATGCGTATCGGATTTCAGATTTCAGATTTTAGATTTTTTGAACATTTTAGCAAGAAGGGCCCAGTGTGACGTAAGGCTCTTTTTCATGGGTGTCCTGCGATGGTACAGATGTTATTCAGTCCAGATCTTAGTTAAAGCCACATTATCAGAGGTCACGATACAAATTGTAAGTATCGGTACGTGCTTTGCATGTTATGTGAATGGGAACCGGTCTTAAAAAACATGACAACATTCTTTCATGAAAAATAAAAGTCACGTAACAAAGCAAAGGCAACAACCGAAAACTTAAAGTATGATCCACGTAGACTTGAGCTTACACTTCTTTGCCAATGTATTTACTACCACTACATCTACGAAGGAACTGGAGCTCCAGGAGTCAACGGAGGTATCTCCTGGTTGGCAACGATTCAGGTCCCAAGTGTAATCCAGCAGCATTCCAAAATTAGGGAGCAGTCACCAAGAAGACCGTTTTTCAGCAGACTGCATCAGACCGAGTGATTATTGAAATGTCGTTGGAGGAGCTTTGAAGGCTTTGTGTATTTTCTTTTGGGGTCAGCATCAGTGTTAACTGTAGCTTCGGTGGCAGATGTCGCAGATGAATCGTAAGCTGCAGCAGTAATCTTGTTCACGGCATTAGTGGCTTCGTGAGCATCATCGTTGTCAGAATCAGAAGCATCACCTTTGTGAGCAATCGAAGCGGTATCATTAGCAGCAGCAGCAGTACCATCATTGTCATCGTCAATGCAGACAGCAGCATCAGGATTGTTTTAAACTTTTCCACACGGCGTAATTCCTGCATGAATGTTAAAGTGTTCCACTCAACCTAGGGGAGATATGTACAAAGCCAAGCTAGAAAATCTAGGCAGCAACAGGTCATCATGGGCACTCTCATATAAACCACCAGAACTTGCTAACCCTCCTTCTGCTCATGCTGCAACTGTTGAACAGTCGATACTCGGACCTCCAAAATCTACTCTTACAAGATCGACCATCTGGCTTCGTCTTCCTCTTTATCACCGACTTCTGCCTGCCAGTCCAATGCCTGTCTCCAATTACTTTCTTCCCTCAATTCGGAACCAGTGTCTCACCCATGACAATCTCATTTTCCTGATTACCATTTCGACAACATTCTATTTCTATGACTTTCTGTTTTTATGGCATTCTATTCCCAACTTCCTAGTTGTTTATTCATCCGGTAATTATCGATAGAAACACAAATTAACGCTCACGATTCATGCAACAAATTATTTGTGTGCGAGAATCCATTATGGCGAATGATTCCTGTAAACCCTGGTAGCATGTAGAATTATTAACCAAAATAATATTCTTTAGATATAACCGTACTTATATATTGACCAAAATATATTGTTAAACCAGATTGAATATATTGGATACTACTAGCCCCGTTAATTGTTGTTTGATATTCTGTAATTCTCACATTATCTGGCAGGGGTGAAGCTATGCTTAGGGTGCTCAACTTTTGATCCTGGTGCTGGCTTCTTAACTCAGGCCAACCGTTCCCCTGCGAGTGATGAAGCGAGGGTCGCACCTTGTGAGAGGTGAACGCTTGGGGGCGTCCCTTCGGAGTGACCGCCGGCGCCCGCAACCAGCGGCGTGGAATTTCCACCGCCGGCTGGCGATTAGCGCTGGCCACGGTTGCTGAGCACGCAGACGCTTCTGCGATGCGAATATGACGTGAAGCTGGTGCCATCGGCCTGACCTGAGTAAAATCGACGCGAGCTTCAGCGCGCCTAAAACGCGCAAGGCTCACCGGCTCCAAACTATGAACTAAACATTTTTTTTTATTTCACCAGGGAAGGCCCACTGAACTATAAGCCTCTTTTTCAGAAGCGACCTGGCCACAAATTATAGCTCAACGAAGTGGCTTATGTGGAAATGTATAGCAGCCAAATATTCTAAACACATGATGCTAAATGTGGAGGGAAAAACTGGAGGACCCGGAGAAAACATTCACGCGACCACGGGGAGAGAAAGAGAGAGACACGCAAACTCCAAATATACAGCAGGTGTCAGGGTTGGAATCGAACCCACGCCCTCCTGCATACGAGGAAAGGTAGTTAACATCTCGCCACCGTGACTCAATCCGACAGCAAGCAGCCCCTTGGTGAACACGAGGAAGTGGACAGCTTGTGAATGGTCGTGGATCTATTGTGTGGCATTGCAACGTGCGGTTGCACACGTGTGCAACTATGCAATACCGCACGAACAATGTGAACTTAGTCATTCAATTTGTTTGTAATTTCCAGGGACACAGCGTTCCCTGATTATTATTTTCTACTTAACATTTTTACTTTGTATACACACGGGTAACATACACTACAGTACATTGTGAAAACACGACAATACCTTGGTTGTGCGTGTGAACACAATAGTTGACGTGTAAATAGTTGTTAGATAACGGGGGGGGGGGGGGGGGGTCTACCTGTAGTCATAATTGGTTGTGACAGCCTACAGCACATTGTGTCATCTCCGAGCAAAGCCCCCCCAGTGTCTACCGGACACCATAGCCACCACCGTGATTTGTAAACACACCCCCCCCCCCGTGAGTCCACACGGCACCAGTTTGTATCAATGTGCCAGGATTGCCCCTGCTTCTGTGACTGCGGAGAGGATGGGGTGATGTGGGTCTAACGATGCAGGGTTCGCCGGTCCAAGGTTCATAGCAGCCGTGAGTGTCGCCCCGTCTCCACCCTCCATCGTGACGCCGTTGTTTGCGTCGTCGGCGTCACGAAGGGCGCTGCTGGACACAGCCCATTACTCTTGGGTTGTGAGTGTGAGGTGGGGCGAGGCCAGACGATTTCGGGGTGTGTCTGTGTCGGTGAATTGGCAAGACGGTAACTGTTTAATCGGTCAAGTCACGTAGGTAAAAAATTTAAATAAATTTAATCACGACGTTTCGGGCGCAACACAAGCGTCCTTCTTCAGGTGGGGACAACGTAGAGAAAGCACAACCGCTTAAGTGTGTGCTTGTGTTGCACCCGAAACGTCGTGATTTAATTTATTTGAATTTTTTACCTACGTGACTTTACCGAACAAAAACCAAGGAGTATGAATCCTTGCAGTCACGAAAACTTCAAATCTAGAACTGTTTAATCGTGGTGGAAATGTTAACGTGCGGCAAGCGAAGCTCTCACAGATGTGGGTAACCATCAGGGTTAATATGGCAATCTCAGACTTTAGTCACATTTGTCAATGCAGGCAAGTTCAGTTGCTTCACACGGTCATCCTTACCACATTGTCTTGTGGTTCGCTTGGTACATTTTATGACCAGTTGTGAAAACCGGAAATCTTACAATTTAGCAGGGGCGGTTTCTTCATTAGGGCGATTGGGCGACGCACCACCAATGTCATTGAACCACAGAGTCACGCTAGCCGTCACTGTGCCTCTGGATATAGTCCAATCAGCGTCATGCTACGTTCTGTGGAGTACCGCCTCTTTTTGGGCGATTTCCCTCCAGCTGAGAATCGCCCCGAGTGGCCCCATAGACTTACATTCAAAGATGTTTTTTTTAGAACGGGGGCGCTGCAATGCATTCTCTATGGCTTCCGGGAGGGCTCGCCCTAACGTGCTTTCGTCATCACACGTAAGCACGTTTCATCCAACAATATAATTTGTCGCCACCTATTGGTTTGTTTTAATAGTGAGTATAGAAACAAACAAGATGTATTGTAAGAGTTACTTTATTTTTCATTAATATTAAAGAAGTGAAGTTGCCTTTACATGCTTAAGCTGTTAATTTATCCATTGCATGGGTGGACCTTATCCTTATCAATCATCCAGACATTTGCCCCCCCTGAGAGATTTTGCAGGAGCCGCCACTGCAATTTAGTGCACTGTAGGCCGTTTGTTAACATCTCATAGGCTGCATACCTCACACAGCATTGCTTTAGTTTGTGGTTTCTCAATGAGCTGCCCTCCTTTTCGAAGTGTGAACAGTGTTTTTTCATTCAGGAAACTGAAGCAGGCTGTTTGTTGAACTCGTGTTAATGTTTGTCTAGTTTAACTGTACATGTTGTTTTCTTGCTGCGTAAGAATTGTCAACACAACTTTCGCAAATGTCGTGCGTTCTATTCAATGTCACGGTGAGACTGTGCAAGAACGCATGCTACCGCTGCGACTTGCCGATCGATTAACTGGCGTCCTCGGTTATACCGCCACCGAAATGGTAACATGTTTAAATACTCATGGAGCACATTCACAAATATTTCCTCGAAAAATTGTGTTTGGTTTCCCAAAGGATTCCTGAGACTCTTGAGTGTGTGTCGACCTATAACAATGGGAACGGAATTTCTCTCTTCATTTTCGTCCCCAATTATTTTGATATTCCTTGCTTCGTTGCACAGTGGTAGCAGTTGATTGTGCCACAGCACGGACCCCTCCGATTAATGAGGCAGGCAGCATTCGCGCTTGCTCCC